TCTATTTCTTACGGTCAATATTTATGAAAGAAAATAAACCTATAGAAAAAGTATGTACACATATCGTTTTGAAGAGTATGCTTTTTCTTGTATTTCCCTTAATTCGTGAATCTAATTGGAACATTTTTTATGTCTGTTCGCTTTCAACAATGTAAACGTGAATGTTAAGAGATGCAGGTTCATATTGCAAAATATACTTATTATAAATATATAAATATTATTGAGTTATTATTATTGTACATAATAATTATATAATAATGATATAACTAATAATTATCGAATTAGTGAATTGACAGTCATTTTACAAATATGTCAAATCAATGAAGTATTTTAACCAATATTTCATTTAATACAAAAGTAAATTACTGTTTCCAATGGAGCATATGTAACACAATTCGGGAGAACTTAATATTTAAATAAGTATTTACAAATATGTGTACTTCTTGGTGGAACAGTTTTTACTCAGGTCTGTGTGTAACGCTTCGAGAAACGATGATGCAGGTTCATATTGCAAAATATACTTATTATAAATATATAAATATTATTGCATTATTATTATTGTACATAATATAATTATATAATAATGATATAACTAATAATTATTGAATTAGTGAATTGACAGTCATTTTACAAATATGTCAAATCAATGAAGTATTTTATAACCAATATTTCATTTAATACAAAAGTAAATTATTGTTTCCAATGGAGCATATGTAACACAGTTCGGGAGAACTTAATATTTAAATAAGTATTTGCAAATATGTGTATTTCTTAGTTGAAGTGTTTTTACTCAGGTCTGTGTGTAACGCTTCGAGAAACGACGATGCATTGGCACTGATCGCGAACTCGCTACACAATAACGTAATGTTTTTTCAAACAACGCGAACGAACCGTCGCAACAAGTTTTTCAAACAGAGGCGACGACATCGGGGATCGGTATAATCGCGATAATTTCGAAAGGCATAGACGACAAAGGAAAAGATATTTTCTCGGCGGAGACGCACGTTGCCGATTCCTCGAGACCGTCGTACCTAAGAAAATGGACACGAACTACTTGCCCGACGGATACTTTCTCCCGTTACTTCTTCTTTTTGCAGTATCCTCGTTCACTTCTTTTCCGCGGTCATTCACGCTCTCTCCCCACCGAGATCTACAATCGTTTCAAGTATGCATTCATGAACTAAAATTCTTCGACGGATTTCCGCAATTTATATTCTCCCCCTCTTCCCCAGCCTCTTCGCATCAATTCCGACGGATCTTCTCCGAAGGATACTTCGCATCCGCCACACGGTTTAATAATACCGGATCTCATGCCACTTCTCAAGATGTCAAACGCGTTCGCGGCTTCGTCTCGAAAACAATCGGGAAACGGAGCTGTCGGCTTCGTATTTCAAACAATTCCGAACGGGCGCGTTCGTTGTTGCACTTATTTTGCCACGCTCGTTGCACGAGCAATAGATCCCTTATTTTCATAACAAGCGATCTTCGTAACTGCAATATTTTTAATGCTTTCAGAGCTGACTAAAGCGAGAAATACAATAGGAACGTCTATTATACTTTTTATATCATTCTTCATGTCTTTGTATTATAATTAAATTGTACGAATGTCATTCCGATCGTGCAGGTTTTATAGTAAAAATTAATCTTTTCTAAAAAAACATATTTACCTTTCTGCACTCTAAATTGCTTCTTTTACAGATCGTATTCACCCTTTTCACAAACGTGACGAACCCTTTCACAAATAAAAATTCAACGTTTTTAATTCGATTTTTAAATTTAACGTATCTTTGTATACTTACACATAAAATAATACGAATTCTTCGTTACTAATCATTTATGAAACGTCGTTCAATTATTAAATTTGATATGAACTTAATTACAAATAATTGCAGAGGAGTGAATTTAATTTGAAAACGAGAATTCAATTTGAATACGATCAACGAAAGGATTGATTTGGAGCGCAATAACGCGAACATGATTTACGAAAGCATTAATTTTGTATTGCCCATCCGAGGAGCAATTTGTTGCTGTTGTTGTTGCACACATCTTCTTTGTCGTATTATTAGGTATACAAAGGAAATTTGAAATGAAACTAGTCCCTGTTAATACCGCGCTCTTCCATTTTTATCGAACAATAATAACAACTTTTATCGACGTACCAGTTAATTTTGTTAAATAAATTTACTCGATAGAAGAGGAAAAAAAGGAGTAGAAGCAATTGATTCCCTTTTTATTAAGTTATGCTATAAATACCGGCGTGTCCTGTTAATGAACTTTCCTCTGCGCAAAATTCTCGGATCCGTTTTGACTTCGTTGGGAAAGTTGAAAATATAATTAATTAACTTCTACGGAAGCGAGTGTTTAGAGCGACCAGTCTCGATCCACGAATTAATTTATCCTGGAAAGTGTGCTTCGCCGTGGAAAGCATCAAATGATGTCGAGAGAGTCATTAGAATTTGACGAAGCCTAAATGAAATGTAGAGTTGTCGAGGTCTCTCGCCAAGGCCACGCGAAATCGCTACATTTCGTTTCTAATGGCGACTTTCCAAGACGCGAATTTCTGCTTGCGAAGACAGAAACTTCACGAGTGTAATCGAAGTTTTTGTTAAACATTTAAGCATGAAATTCTGCGTTACATTCTCCATCAAATTTTACATTTAATTCTGCCCGAACGGTTTGCGTTAGCCTACGAGTTTCTTCGAAAAGAAACATTTCGTCTGCGATACTTTTTCTTTGATTTGTCAGCAACTCGTTATCATTTTAGACAAATGTGGAATACCTGAAGTTGGACAGAAAATGATTATAGACGACGATTATGAAATTGCACGAGCATTTCCTATTGTTCGTGGCTCGGCGATTTTACAGCGAATATAGTACGCCTCATGCTTTTAAGTAAAGATTGAACAAGAACACGATGCACATATATGGAGTAAGTGAAAATTATGATATTTAAGTGGAGCAGCAGACACCAATTTCACGGTGAGCATAGGTGAAAGGTAAAAGTATGATCAAAGATGTATCAGCGAGCGGATTATACATATGAACGAAGCGAGTGCGAATACCTTGCAGTGTTAAAAGCTTTAGTGAAATTTTCTCGTGCCAATGAAATTGAACATTTTTCATTGTTCGTACTTACTTCGAAGTATGAATATACTATATTACGTCATGTCATTTTTAACAGATATTTTCAACGAAAAATATTAACATCGGCTCCCGATCGTTGATGCATCGATTGTTGCTCGTGAAATCCGACCAATTGTTCGACTATTAATTTTAGAGACTACAATTTCGATAGGATGTAATTTGCGATTCGTGGAAAATCTTTGATACACATTGATCACCACTGCTGCTTTCCTCGTACCCAATCAATGAATATCACTTTCTCTAGGAGCGATCAAAGTAATTAAAAGTGAAACAGGTTTCGCAACTCCGAATTCAAGCTCCTGCAGATCACACGTTCAACTTTCTGGAAATCAAATTCAACTTTTCGAAGGTCATATTCACCTTTCAAATTCACCTTTTTGTGGCCATGTTCGCTTTTTTCGAATCAAAATACATTCTTATGCAAATCAGGTTCATTTGTGTGAGTGTCTTGAGAGTGAAATAATATAGATATAACTTCAAATATTTTTCACAAACTGCTTCGGAGATTGAAATGAGCCACTGAATGAAGATAATCGGACGAAGTATATAATCAGTTTTGAACAATGTAAGCTTCCACAAGATTCAGAAATCGCGTGACTTTATTGGTCAGACAAGGCTCATTTGACTATTTTTATCGCCTTCGGTGATGACCAAATTTAAGTTTTTCCAAAAATCGAATTTCCTGGAAAAATTTTGTCGTGAATGTTATTACATAATCATTTTGTTATCACTAGACGCAGAGACGAAGGTACGTTCACTATTAAGTAAGTATTTTAAGTTCATTGTTACATACAATAAAATTAAAAATTTGAAGAAAACAAATTGGACGAAGGTGAATTTGATTTGGGAAACGGTGAATTCGATTTAAAAAACAGTGAGAACAATTTGCAAAAGGATGAATTTGAAATGGAAAATTCATAAAGCAACTAAGGAAAGCAGCAATCGGAAATCCTACTGTCTCTTACAATTTCACATTTTTGTTTATGTGAATGAAAAATGTGTGACATAATTGAGAAGACCAAAAAGCTTCTATAAACAGCGGCTTCGACGATTCAAAATCATTTTAACTCTGCGGTTTTTGTCTCGATTTTATTGTCCTCTTCCTAGCAAGGTTTGCCATTCGAGATTAATCCTTTTTTAGATCATAATTACCCTTTTTCTCTCCGAATCAATTCTTTCATAGACCGTATTTACCATTTTTGTAAATCAAATCAACTTCTCGTAGTCACTTTTTTGCATTCACTTATTTCTAATTATTTGTAACAATATTCATAATAAATTTTGAAATCGAATGACATTCCATAAAAAATTGTTACAGATTAACGAAGATCAATTATTTGCAATTAAATCTAAAAACTGAATAAAACACGGCCAATTTATAACCGCGGAAGGTATAATCTATTTGAAAAAAGGTGAATTTGATTTGCACAAGGACGAAGAAAACCTGCGTAAGGATCGATTTGTTTTCTTTTCTTTTTGATCGAAAGGATTCATTTCGAGTAAAAAAACCTGCAATGTTATCCGAAACAGGATAAGACTGTCGAGGGAAACAACGTAATTAAAACAAATTCGAATTGCAGAGACATCGACGATCCACGATCAACGAACAGTAAAAAAGGAACTGCGAGGACTTTTGAGAATCGATCGCCCAGTATGGAGCGACCCGCGAGGAGCGAGTTCTGGGTTTGTCGAGCAGCCACGGACGAACAGTAGAATCGTGCAATCGTGGATGGCAGTCAGTAGTGTTGAAGCTTCTAGTTGCAGCTCGCGGTTGGTAAGAAGCATGATCATCAGGAGGTGAGAAAAGTGTATGTACAAAAAGCGGAATGGAAGAGGACATAATGCTGATGCCTTACCGTCTCCATCCTTTCAGAGGAGCTCGCCGGAGATCCTCCTCGGATAATCCAAGGAGACCTAGACAAGCCAGCAGCCAGGCCATGATCACCAGTGCCGTAATTGCGGCCAGTCTGAATGGTAGAAGAGCCACCGTCAGGAATGCCGTCTGAAACAAGAATCACCTTTGCTTCAACAGCTGCTCTGTCAATACATACGTACTATCGGAAACAAGCACTCCTGGCCCAGCCGATGATTAACCTCGCGATACCCCGTGATTCATGACCGTGGCAACACTTTTTGCATACTGGTTTCTGCTACCGAATCGCAAGATCATTTCTTTCTACATTTGCATTTCGTAGTTTCAGGCTGCACACGCGAAAGTACAATTGTCCTTCAGCTTGTTTTCATAGTTATTGACAATCGGCAACTATAAAAAGGAGCCGCGAGGCTCGTACAATCGTATCGCCTTTTCCCAAATTGTCCATTTTTGTTTACAAGCTGTAGGACAATTGTAGAGTATTTACTGTATTTTGGGACATTAAGGCAATTGCAGAGATTGCAGAGATCCCTGTGCGAGCACAGGATATTATTGTGACCTTGATTCTTTGGGATTTACCTCGTGACTTCTGTCAAATTTTCTGCATACTGATTTTTCCTACTGGATCACAAGGTACAGCTAATTCTCTCCAATTGTCCTTCAGTTTGTAAACAAAAATGGATATTTTTTGGAAGCAGAGATACTATTGTTCAAACTTCGTGGCTGATTTTTATAGTCGCCGATTGTCAACAACTATAAAAACGAGGCGCAAGGCTCGTATAATCGTATCTCCCAAATATTTCCCTAAATAGCCTATTTTTGTTTAGAAGCTGAAGGACAATTGGGGATAATTTACTGTAGTTGCGGACACAAACAAGATTTCATTATCGTTATCGTAGCGACAGATCATACACGCAAAAATATTTTAGGACATCAGAGGTCTTATTAGAGAGATCTCAGTGTGAATCTAGAACGCCATCGAAGGATTCATATCTCTTTGTTCAATAGTATACTTCGTTTAAAAGATTATTAAATTGTATGCGTCTTATGACAATAATAAACAGGTCAAATACAAAACTGTAAAGACATTAGAAGAATTTAAGTTACATTACCTTTAATTTATTGAAGCTATTAAAAGAGGAAATACATTCATATTTCACTTCTATTTCTTGCAAATGATATAGGCAACGTTTGTATTGCATAAAGATCCGCGGTCTAATGATTATTGAACTGTGAATTTTATGCAATTATAATAAAAGCGACTGCAACAAATCGGGAAATGTAAATACATTAGAAAAATTTATGAACATTGCTATCATCTCTTCGATTTATTAATATTATTTAAAAAAGAAGTACGTTTTTGTTTTATTTCTGTTTGTTACACTTGAGTTAGACAATTTTTATTTTGAATACAATTCCTCTAGCGACTATTAACTCTGTAGTATTTATAGTTTAGGTTATCTCGTGACCGTAGTAATAAGTAAGTTTAAATTATATACAGTGGCCCATAAAAGTATTCGTACACCTTTTAAAACGCAGTAACTCTTTTAAAACTGGACGAAATGACCTGAATTTTTTTTTTAAATGATAGCGGGACTATACCAGACGGTGACCAAAATGCTTCTTTTAAGTTTTGCTATCGCTTGGAATGACAAAAGAAAATAAAACACTCTGGTTTTTTAACTTTTTTATCTGAGCCTATAACGGAAATTTAAAAAACTAGAAGAAATCTGCAGTTTTTTAAATATTTTAACGCTGGTAGCTCGACTCCGGGTTAATCGATTTCGATCAAATTTTCATCACGAGTCACCGAGATCTACGAGAGGCATTTTTTAACATTTTTTTACAGGCTCGGATAAAAAAGTTAAAAAACGAGATCTTCGTCATCCCAAGTAACAGCAAAATTAACAAAAGGCATTTTAGTCATTGTCTAGTAGACTATCACCTAAAAGAAATTCAAGTCACTCATTCCGGTTTTAAAAAAGTTATTGCGTTTTAGAAGGTGTACGAACACTTTTGTGGCCTGCTGTACCTTGCCTCTCAGCGATCACTGTTTTTCGTCGATAACTTGTAAACAAAACCGCGGATTGCATTTTCGCCGAGGAGAAAGTTATTTCAAACGACCTCGGGAATCACCCCTTTCCGGGTGTTATCATAATTATGGGACACCCTGTATACGTATACATTATTATAGAGAAAAGCGTTTTAGGAAGAATTTACGGAGAAAAGGGGACGTCGTTGCGTGTTTAGCATCTTTTTGCTCGGATGTGTCCGTCTGCTGATCGCGGACAATAGAGGAAAGAGTCCTTTCATTCTGATCGAAGGAAATCGAACGTGGTGAGCTGTTAGGTAAATTGAAGCGAGGTTGTGCACCGGAGTAATAACAGTGAATTATCACGGAGCACGATAAAAATGATGCCTACGAATCCGAGAAATTATCGAAATAATAGTGGACAGAGAGGAAATGGGAAACAAAGCCGGATGGAAAAATAGCAGTCTAGCGCGTTTGGTTTGTACGGCAACGTTTCGATGAAGCCGGTAATCAAAAGTAGCTTCGGGCCACGAAAGATTAAAGAAGAGAAGGAAAACAAGAGAATGAGTTATTAGAGCTGCCAAGGAAGGTTGTCTCAAAGGGATAAAAAGAATGAGGGGGACTTAATAAGGCAGAAAACAGTAGCAGCCGGGAGAGAAATGATGCGATCACGTTGGAAAAGCGCACGATACTTCGCTATTGCGAAAACGTCTTGACATTGTTCGAATGCCGTCTCATTTGGCTATACTTGACTATAATTTATTTTCGATTGTTTAACGGAACATCGAATAGCGATAAACATCAAATGAATCGATTAATTGAATTCTTTCGTGTGCAACTAAAATATCTAATATTGTATATATATATATATATATATATATATATTAATATATAATATATTTATATTATGTTAATTATATAATACTAATAGTATAATACTAATATAATATATAATAATATAATAATATATAATAATATAATACTATAACTAATTATATTATATAATATATTGTAATATATATATATATATATATATATATATATATATATATATATAATATATTATCG